GAGATAAAGATCTTACATATGCCTTTTACCGACCACAAATTACTTCCCGCTGTCTCCTGTTCCTCTGTCTGCCACTTACCTGGATCTTCCGTCTGTGTTACGGCCCTGCCCAACCGCCGCCTGCGCTCTAGTTTGTTGCGTTGGCGATCTGGCTCGGCTGTCCGTCATTCGTCCCCATGTGGGCAATCCAGAGGAAATACGACCTGGTAATGCAGTACCTTCTTTTCGCCACTAGATGCCCTCACTCCGATGTCCAGCATCATTCAAGCCCACTTCCTCCGAGTCCAAGTCGTCTTGGACCCACCCCAGCCAATGACTGGACGGTGGAAGAAGAAGCAGCAGCGCAGTGAGGAGCTCCTTTTTTTCCCCTCCTGTCGGCATGCTTCCTGTGAGCAAATGAACCGATTGGCTCATTGTGTTACTCGGGAGGATGCTACCGGGTCAAAATCGGGTCTTGCATATAGAAGATGATGTAATAATGATCACAGAGCTGCAATCATTTAGATCTGCTCAGCTTTAATACATTTACAAAAGATAGTGTCAGAGGCTGTATTATAAAATGAGGGCCCCCGGCTGTCCCCAAGGAACTCCCCGAGAGCCCCAAATGTCTATATAGGAACTGCCCACTGTCGTCCATATGCTTTGTCTTGTCAATGACCATCAAAGATTCCGGTCACAGCTTGGCTGTCGCTTCCCATTACATGAAAAGCAAAGGCCACCGCATGAGTATATGGACCCCTCGGGCCTCCAAATGCGACATCTCCACTCGTCAGTCCATACCATAGACCTTAATCCGGCCATGGAGTCCCAATGTTCCTGCTGCGTCTTCTACAAAGAACGTCCTATGCGGATGGTGGGAATCATTGGGCGCAGAATGCCTGAGAGGGATAAGTAGATGCCACTGAAACACTTCCAACATTCCGGACAGGGAAAGGGGCCTTTGACTCCAGTACCGTTTGGCCAGATCGGAGGTGGAGGTGAAACGTTTTCCACACCAGGTCCAGGAATAGGGCTTCTCCCCCGTATGAGATCTCTGGTGCTTGCCGAGATCAGCGCTCGCCGTTAAGCACTTCCCAGGAAAAGGCCGGACCCCCGAGTGATGCTTCTGCTGTGCCACCAGACTGTTATGCTCAATCTAAGCATGCGTAAGCTTCTCCTCCAGGTGGACCTTATGGTGCTCCTCCAGGTCCAAACTGCTGGTGAAACATTTCCCACACACCAAACAGGAAAACGACTTGCCGTCGGCATGGATCTTCTGGTGCGCAAGAAGAGTCTGTTTGCGAGTGAAGCACTTCAGACATTCCGGGCATTGAAAAGGGCGCTCGCCTCGGTGACTCTGGCGATGTCTGCCGAGATCGGAGCTCCTCATGAAACACTTCCCGCAGTCGGAGCAGGAAAAGGGCCGGACCCCTGAATGGAGCCTCTGGTGCTTCACCATGCCCTGCCTGGTGCTGAATCGTTTGCCGCACTCTGAGCAGGCGTGGAGCTTCTCCTCGAGGTGGATCTTTTGGTGCTTCTCCAAGTCAGAACTGCTCGTGAAACGTTTCCGGCACTCCGAGCAGGAGAAGGGCTTGTCGGCGGCATGGATCTTCCGGTGTTTGAGAAGAGCGAAACTCGTGAGGAAGGACATGGTGCAGTCGGCACACGGGAAGAGCTTCTCCACAGTGTGAACCTTCTGGTGCTTTGTCAGCTCGGACTTGGTGATGAAACCTTTGTCACACAGGGAGCAGGAATAAGGCCGAACCCCAGTGTGAATCCTCTGGTGCTTGATAAGATCTGAGTTGCTCGTAAAACCCTTTCCACACTCGGAGCAGGAAAATGGTCGCTCAACTGCATGGGTCTTCCGGTGCTTATTAAGGGACGAGTTGGTAAAGAAACTCTTCCCGCAGTCGGGGCAGAGAAACGGCTTCTCATCTGTGTGGCTGCGCCGATGCCACGCAAGGGCAGAGTTGGTGATGAACTGCGCCCCACACATCGAGCAGGTGTAGGGTTTCTCCCCCGTGTGGAACCTCCAGTGTGACACCAATGAAGAGTTCCTGGTGAAGCACTTCCCACACTCCGAGCAAGAATAGGACTTGTGTCCGTTATGGGTGCCCTGGTGGGCCAGAAAAGCTGCTTTGCTCATTAAGCCTTTCCCACACACGAGGCAGATGTGGAGGTTCTTTCCAAGGTGACCCTGTTCTACCTCTGGAGGATGGAAGTCTGAGTTGCAGTTATCTACGGAGCCATTCAACGTTAGTTCTGAGGTATCGCCTTCTGTGATGCCTCCATCCTCACCAAAAAGGGGTTTCTCTTTAATCCTTACTGAATTGTAGTCTGCATCCTTCGTGGACATTGAGGCCTCCACGTTCAGGAGTCGTTCCTCTCCGCTCGACAGGGATCCGGCCTTAATATCAGCAAATTTATATTGTGCACGGTCTGTTCCGGAGATCTCAGAGCTTGGCAACTGTTCAGATTCCTCTTTAACATGAGCAGGGGCACTTTGAGCATGACCTGTTGCTTTAGAGACTTCAAGGTGGAGATGTTCCTCAGCTGAGAATGGCTCCTCCTTAATAAGAGTAGAAGAACTTTGTGTAGGATACGGGAGTATGGAGAGGTCAGGGTGAGGACGATGACCTTTAGAAGAGACCTGTTCACCCGTAATGTGACCTGCATCTTGTATATGGTCTATTGTTTTGGAGATGTCAGATTTCGGGAGATGTTCCTCAGCTGAGAGAGGCTCCTCCTTAACATGTGTAGATGTAGACAGTGCATGGTGAGCGGGTCTGGCCATGTCAGAACCGAGGAGCTCCTCTTCTTTCTCACATGAAGTCTTGGTAATAA